GCTTCATAGTACCATTTTAAGTTTGGTACCACAAGACCACCCCTTTCAACATCATTCTGAAGTACTTTCATTCCTATTCTGGGCTTTTTTTTTTTTTGTTCCAAATAAATTTAGAGATTTCTCTGCTCCATTTTACAAAGGGTATATCATTTAGTAGGTTCAGGAAATAAAACATTATCTTAGCCAATAATGCCATTTTTATAACTGCAATTCAGCCCATATTAATAATACACCATATTTGTATATAGTATGTAGACTCTACTATTGAAACTGGCATGATATGTAACACACCAGTTCACTTCCTGATTCATAGTTGCTGCATTATATTAAAGATATTAAAAATCCACTTTCCTTTCCCCTTCCTGTCTAGTGCCTTTCTTTTATAAGGGTTACCTGGAGAAATTGCAGGATATCTGTGAATATCCTGAATATCCTGAAAATAAAGGATCAATATAGTCAAATGAACAGCTCAATTTTTTTTAGCACACACTTCACTAAACTCCTTCCTTTTTAAAAATCTAATCAAGCTTAAAAGCAGAAAGCCATTAATGTTTCAAAAACTCATTTTAACATTTGTAGCAGAGGCAGACAATTTTATTCAATATTCCAAAATATTATTGTGTACTCTACATATGGGATAAAGTTATTTAAATAAGTGAAATAGTGGAATGATACAGCAGGAGTCATATTTAGTTATAGTGGAATAATCTGCCTTAATAATACAATGGCATGCACAAATGGATATGCTAATATTTAGGACACTACCATGTTGTATTAGATATAGTATTTTTGTATTCAGCTACATTATCAAGGTGCTGAATGTACAATAAAAATATTTCAAAGTGAAAAAAGCAATCCAATGGGCTACCACTGCCAGACATTACTATAATTATTTATAGCAAATGTCAGGAAAGCTCATGGGTTGAAATCCACCATTCTTTCACTAGGATCATAATTAGATTAAAAAAAAACATTATTACATGCTACAAGTACTCATAAAGATCTGAAGACAAGAAGCAGATGTTCTAATCAACACAAGTTATGAAGGGTGTTTTAGATGAACAATATAGTGTTCTCTATTTCTATATCTTTTCCAGTCATAGAAATATCATGTTTTCATCCATTGTTCAGATTTATGTCAAACCCTACTTCTGCACTCAGAAGTGATTTGAGCAAAGAAAAACAACTTGAACTACTGCTGAGAAAGGTACTTGATCATGCTCTCTAGGTAACACACGATTTTAACAAAGAACCCTCATCTTGTGTTTTATGTATCCTTAACAGAATTGGTGAGCCACAATGAAACAAAACAGACATGTTTTCCATGGGTTGAAGAGCTCCATTCACGTAAAGGAGAAACTAAATAAAAGAAGGGGGGGGGGAGAGAATACACCACCTGAACGATGCTTTTCTGGGGAACTATTTGTAAAGAATAGTATTAAAACAGAGTAAATTATAATAAAACTGTACCAACTTTTTGTTTATCCAGTATTTTCATGGCATAATACTGTTCTGTAGATTTATGCTTCACCAACATGACTCTGCCAAATGACCCAGTTCCAAGTGTTTTTAGCCTCTCGAAGTCATCTAAGCCAGCAGTATTCTACATAACAAGGAGAGAGGATAAAATATTCAAAGTATAAAGATATAACTGCTATTCTAAGTTCTATTAAAAACATAATCACAGAGCCCTATTGTGTATTAGTTATATACTTTTTAAATTGTTCTACTTTCCCCCTTTTTCCTCTCTTTTTCTCCATGCCTTTTTATTTGCTGATTGTATATTGCTTTGATTGTAAATTAGATTGTTCATGTTAAAAATTAATAAAAAAATATGTAAGGCAAATGTAAATAAATATCACAGAAACCCTAACTTAAATGACAATTTAAATTTAACATCTTGCCAATCCAATCTGTTGAAGTTTCTGGAAGATAATAATAAACATCTAGCCGTGATATATAATCACAGTCATCAAGTGTATTTTTTTTGTTTATTAAGGAGGGTGACAAAATAGAAGGAATTAGAAACATCTGCTACTAATCTTTCATATATTCAAAAGATTAACAGCAGTCATTCAAGGCATGAAAGTATACTTTGAAAAATACACAAGGTATGAAGTTTAGTTCTTGCTAAAAACAAGCAAAAGTGGGTTGCATAGCATTTTATATTCATCTCACTTCAAATAGGAATAAACACACCCTCTCTCACACAAGGCCTAAGCAGACTGCCAGAAATAGTGCACATTAAATTGAGGCACTGCCCTGGCTCAGTGCTAGGGAATCATGGGAATTGTATTTTTTTTGTGAGACTTCTCTGTCAGAGAGCTCTGGTGCCACAATAAATTACAGTTCCCATGATTCCCTAGCACTGAGCCAGGGCAGTGCCTCAATTTAATGTGCACTATTTCTGGCAGTCTGCTTAGGCCCACAGACACGATGTTACTGATAAGAAGCTTCTAATGAGCTTTCAACATGACAGAGGAGAAACTGAGCTTACAAGAGGTAAAGTAGGTACCCTTCATCCAGCACTAGCCCATGCCACAGTTCTCACCTGCCATATTTTTCTCCAGTAGAAGTGAATGTATACAACTGATTCTGTGCAAGACATTTAAAGGGGCTGCAGGAGGCTGTTAAAGCATACATGGGAAGCCTGCAACTTTTACTGGAATTGAGGGTTAAAGTGCCTAGGACAGATAAAGCTGTCTTATTTTCTTGGAATAGGGATATAGTCTAAATTCTCCTCAGCTGTATCTCTGAGTAAAGCACCTATACATTTTTCAAGCAAATCAGTTCAAGCAATTCATTTCTCCAGAAAAAGGGAGTTGGTTTCTTTGGCACTATGGAGATGGGATTCTGCATTCTCCAAATCTCAGCAATCTCTATTTCTGAAGACCAGACTATTCCCATCTCAACATCATCAGCATCAGAAGACTTCAATTGGGTTGTAATCAACAACTTTATTTAAAGTTGTTGGCCATATTCCAAGAGTGCTTTAACTATCTTTCTGCAAGGAAGGGAACTGACTAGATGGGCCTTGGAACTATGAACTTAATCCAAGATTCACACATTTGAGAAGGTGCTTAGGTTTAGATACTGTTCTATCATACTGTTCCCCAATAACATCTTATACACAAAGTTTAAAATATATTAGAGTTGCAAACACAGAGTTTAATATATATATATATATATATATATATATAATTAGGAGTTGGATACATGTTCATACAATTCTATTGTATGTGGCATCCTTGCTAGACAGATCCCCAAAACCCAAACAATGTAGTTATATAGAATTAAGAAGCATAATGAATTTATTAGTACAGAGTACCATTTTGAACAATGACTCCTGCAAATTATTATAAAGCATATTGTATATTGTAAATATAAAATCAAATTTCATCACAAGTTCTCTCTGTGGAAAGCAAACCAAAATATTTTTCCCAATATGGGTCTCCAAATTTTCTGTGGTAAATATGGACCATGAACAAACCCTTGCCAACTCCAAGTATATTCATTCAAAACAGAATGACAAGATGGAAACGTCGTTAAAAGTTTCCTGCCCTGTATCCAGCACTTTTCTAGCTGTTCTAATTACTGTATTTTAGGAGAGTATATATGAGTGAATTAGGGCCTTTACAGACCCGCCTTTTGGGGAGGCACAGAGCCACGGCCTCGATCCTCCCTTCTGCCACCCCCAAAAGAGCAGTAAAATGCCGCTCCTTTTAGGGGCGGCAAAAGGCCTCCCTAAGAGCTGGCGCTGTGGCTCTTCCACACCCTTTTGGCTCAGCATGTGTACATGCTGCACCAGGAGGGTGTCCTGATGCCGTGCACCCTGCGGGCAGGCGCACGGCATCAGAACAGCATTGGGGTAAAGTTGGGGCCGCCAGTGTGCGGCTGCTCTGCCCCAACTCCACCTCCCAGGCCAGCCCTTTAGGGCAGTTTGTAAAGACCCTGTGTTATTCCAAACACAACAGACAGGCTTTTATTCTAGTAATAGCTGAAATGGTTTCATTACCTGAGGGGGGCTTTCCCATTTTCTTAAAAAATCTTCTTTGGCTTTTGCTAGGAACTCTTTCACTGAAAATAGAAATAAAAATGTAGAGTTTAATACAGTTCACTAAAGTAACAGGACTTTTTGAAACTATTTTAAACTTGTGCTCTTCAACTTACACGCTAAATAAGAAGCAAGGGTTCTACAGTAGTTCTAACAGCTTTGTAAAGCTTATGAATTACAATATATGTTTCAGCAGAACTTGCTTAAACTAGTTTAAATCTAATAGGCCACACCACTGTACAGGCAAGCAGGCTTTAAGGTGATGCAAATCCCTATTGGAGCGAAGGCAGAATATAAAAAAGTATCTCCTGTTGGTATTCAAACAGCAAACAGTTCTTGCTCCAGTGCATCACTTTTGCTTAAAGGCTGTTTGCAAGCCAAAGAATCAAGTGCACAGCATTACTGCAAGCAAAGGCAAAACATAGGGTTACAAAATAGCACATCAGAGATGCCCACAGTCAGAGACTACCTCGTGATACTAATTTTGCATTTCATGCAACATTATTCTGCATTGATGTGTAAAATGTGCACTATAATATATAACAGTGATGACGAAACTTTTAAGCACCAAGAGCTTAAAAGCTTGTTGTGGCACCAGAGCTCTCTAACAAAGGTGGCTAAATAACTCACAAAACTACAATTCCCAGAATTCTACAGCATTGAGTCATGGCAGTTAGAGTGGTGTCAAACTGGATTATTTCTGCAGTACAGATGTAGCCTCAGCCATGCTGTCATCAAATCGCATTTGCGAGAATGCAAGAGGAGGCCTTCTTAGTGGACACTCTCAGGAACTAGAACTCCCTGCCAAGGGAGTCTGATAGTCCTCTGACAGGTAAAAGTATCTTTATTGAGGCAGGCCCCTGTTGCTCAAAGGAGTTTTACTACTTGGATGCTAGCTCAATGTTACACTTTTATTAGATTGGCTAATTTTATATTTTAATGGGAAGTCAGCACGGTGCAGTGGTTTGCATGCTTGACTAGGGCACCAGAAGACCAGGGTTTGAATCCCTGCTCACCCACAGAAACCTATTAGGTGACCTTGGGCAAGTCATATGCTCTCAACCTCAGGGGAAGGCAGTAGCAAAACTACTCTGAAGAAATCTTGCCAAGTTAAGCCCATGATAAGTTTGCCATAAATTGGAGTTGACTTGAAGTCAAGTTAACAACACATGTTTTAAATAATGTTTTTAAGCATTTTTAGTCACAGTGAATTCCCTTTTTGGCAGAGCACAAATAAAACTAAATAAATAGACGTCTATGCCATGTCAAACACTCTTTGCAGACGTCTACATAAAGAATTCTATGGATGCTGGCCTATGTAATTTTTTATAGTAAGGGCACCTACTATACTGTTTTAAAATAATAATAATAAAAAATAAATAATAAATAATAAAACTCAATATATGGATACTAGTTATCAGGAGAAATACCAATGTCCCCATATTTTTTTCAGTTGAGAAAAAAGTGTTATATAAAATCTATGAAATAATTTCAAATGTAAAATACCTCACTATAGGATATCCGCCATCAGTGCACATTTTATTTACTAGTTTTATGATTGCTGTTTCCCTCTTTTTGTAGTTTTATAGTCTAGTCAATGACTTTGGGCTCTAATGAAAGAATGAGCATACCAAAGGTTTCTAAAGGTTTCACCAAGGGTTTTCAGGAACATTCCCACACAGATGTGATGAAAAGAAGAAAGAAAGAGAAAAAGGGTTTACGCATTTTCCATGTGGTACACAGAAATAAAATTCATCCCAATCCAGCTCCCTTCCCACCTATCTCTTCCTTAAAGAATGGACATCAGAACAGATCAGCTATCCCACATGTTCAGATAATGAATCAGCTTTCATTAAAAAATACACATATAAAAAGCAATCAGAAAAGAATTTTTACATAAAGAGCAAATATGTAAGAACTGTAAACTGAAAAATATTGCAGAAGTTATGAAAAAAAGAGGTTTATTAAGAATTTAAAACAACAGGGACCTAAACACATAGACACTGATAGAAAATTATGTTCTGGAATCTCAGAAGTGAGTTAAGGTGTCATTTATAGCGCAATTGTGCTGACTGTGAATACACTTATCAATCCCTCCCTCCCACTGCTGGATCAGTAACCATAGCCTGAAACAGTCTGGCTGAAAAAACTGTGGTCGGGCCACACCAGCACCATTTGCACTGGGGCCATAATGACTACACACACCTAGCCCCAATCTGGGCCGCTGCACAATATTCCTTATTGCAAACAGTTGTACAGTAGGACCTCAGTATTTGTGGACTTACCATCCGTGGATTTGAGCATCCAAGGATGATAAGCCCACATTGTCTACAATGCTAGTGTGTGCACGGGACTGTGCCACCATTAGAGACAGCCCCCACTGTCCTCAGTGGCAGTGTGTGCACAAGACTGCGCCACTATTAGGAACAATGGGACTTCACCTGATTTCACCACTGGGGACAACGGGGGCTTGAACATCCATGGATTTTGGTATCCACCAGGATGGTAGTGGCCCAAAGTGGACTCCTCGCTGATACCGAGTTCTCACTGTACTGGCAATTTTAAAGTTTCTATTTCATTTTCTATTTATTCAATAGGTATTCATCTATAGGTAACACAAAATATAATGCAGAAAAAACAACCAGCTTATCCCTGGTTTAGATGTCTATCTAAATCCATATTTCAATACTCTGGTTTGTTAACTAATCAATATCAAAATAAACTATAGGTCTCTGAGTTCATGTGTAAAAGGAAATGATGGTTCAGTCAAAGGTTTCACTCTCCATCTCTTGTGAGGAATGGAGTGCAAGACATGAGCCCAAGGCTAAATGCAACCAACTCTCAAAGCCTATGAGTCACAATGACTATGCATTCTCGCCAGTGTCAAAAGCTGCAGAAATCAATGACTGTCAAAAACTAGCATTATACATATTTTGTGTTTGTCGGCTGGCTTGAGAAATATATCACTACAATGTGTAGTTTAGATTTTGTTGTACTTTGCTGCTTGGCCAATCCCTGAATATGTTCTTCAGATCAGCATATTACTCAGGAGTGTACACAGTTTTGTAGAACTCTTTGGTGGATTTACAAATAAATGTCTTTGGATTATATCCTCACTGTCCATATGGAGCACATTTCCCTCTTTTAAAACATTTGGGATATGTGTAACACAGTGGTTCTCAGACTTTTTACCCTTGTGCCCCCATTTACATCTACATGCAGATGCTGCACCCTCCCGTAATGTAGTATATGAATAAAAATATTTTGTTTGTTTTGTGTGTGCATTTTCATTTCTACAGTCATGTATACTCATATTTTAAGGAAATTTTGTTTTATTTTACAATGAAATATCCAAAGGGAGAGGTGGGAAATATAAATAAATTATTATTATTATTATTATTATTATTATTATTATTATTATTATTATTATTATTAAATACTATCATCTAAATTAGAACAGTTTTATTTAAATAAATGCAATACTTAACACACACATAAATTATACTGTCTCACACACAGCCACACTCACATAAGCCAGTGTTCACATATGTATACCCTCAGTCATACTCTTTAATTCTTTCCTTCGCTCACATGCATACTCATTTACTCTCATACATACAGTCACAGAGAAACATTCATTCTCTTGTGTATATGCAAGGATACAAAAATGCATACATGAGCATGTAAAAAAGAGATGAAGAGTGTGACTGAGTGTGTGCGTGTGAGAGAGAATTTGTGTTGGAGACTGAGGGAGTCAGAAAAAGAGCATTACTGTGTGTGAGTGAGAATTAGTATGTGACAGAAATTTACTCACAACCAAGAGAGATACGTGGATTGTGTAAGAGAATGTATTGAGGCTGCAGCAAAGCCTCATCCCAAGAACTGGTGTAGTGATGGGATGGGTGGGGGTTGGGGAGAAGTGGCGGCTTGAGATGCTGACCACGGAGGCCACAATCCAGCGAGATTCCCCACTCTCCTTCTCCTCCCTCAGACAGAACAGTTGCTCTAAACATCTTCTTTGCCTTTTTCTTCCCCTCCAGGGCAGAAAAAAATATGGGTAGTAGAGGAGGGGAAAATCAGGTCCTCCAAGTCTCATGCCCCCTTTTGAGCGACTCTCACGGCTTCCCATGGGTCCCACCCCACCGTTTGAGAACTACTACTTTAAAAGAATTATCAGTCATCTTCAGGTTTACTTGGTGACTCTCATGTTATATTGTAAATATATATGTATTATAATGTAATATCAGACTATTGTATAAATTATGGGAAGGCTATATACATGTAATATTGGTTAGGCCTCTCAGTTACAGAATTTAACAGCAGTTTTTAGCAAGTCCAAGCAGGATAAGAAAAGATGGTGACAATATACAACATCCCAACACTGTATGTGGAAACTTATTTGTAAACATGACTCTAAAGAATTAATATGTGAACAATCTAGTTTTTAATGATTTTGAATAGAAGGCAAATTATTTCCTTTTAGAGGAACAGAATTTCCATTTAGAACTTTAAAGAAATCTATAAGCATAACTATCAGATGCTGGACATGTGAATAGCATGGATTTAAGTCATACACAATCACTTTGACTTAAAATGAAAGATTCAAGAAAGAGCTTCTTTATGTTTTCTTGAAGATGGTAGGTTATATCATCCTACATCTGCCCTCTTTATAACTATTAAGCATAGTGAATTTAGCTCAAACACATAAGTAATTTGATTACAACAGAGAAGGACTATGGCTAAAATACTGAAGTTAGGGTTAACAGACAGCTAAGATTTATAATGTTATATACCAAAGACAATTACCGGTAGGTTTAATTAGGAAATATATATATATATATATATATATATATATATATATATATATATATATTCTTACAGTATATGGGAATGAACTGCTCAGTTTTCGCACAATAAATATAGGAACATATAGTATCTGATTATTCTATAGTAGTTACACTAATGTTTATATTAATAGATTTTGTTGTTTTGTAATTGTTAGTGAACTATTTTGAAACATTACATATACTTTTATTATATTGTTGTAAGCACCTTAGAGAATGGCTTAACAAAGAAAAACAGCACACAAAATAAAGTGATCATGATGAAACAGGTGATGGTTGTACTCTTTGCCACCATAACAATTTCACATAAAATACTGTCTGATACAGGACAGAATAAAGAGAAGAACGAAGGCTAGACACACCCTTATTTGCACACACTTGGGTTGAGAGCTGTGAATCACTTGGCTCTTCCTTCTTTACCTCTCATGTACACACATTCAGAGGACCATGCTCACAGTGGGTGGTGTCAACATGAAGGCAGCTCTGAACAAAACTTTCTCTGCATAGAATTCATGTTGGCTTAAAAAAGAAAAGCAGCAAGAGCACAAACTGTTTCGAGTCTAAACAAACCATATCTGCTCTGCTTAAAAGCCATGTTCTAGTTTTTAAGTCTGGCTTTCAAACTGCAGATTAATTTATATTTGAAAACTCAATATATCATGCTCCTCCTGAAACAATGTGAAATTCTATGTAAACTGTAAGGTTTACAGCAAGATATGCCTACCGATTACATGCACACACTGGGGAGACAGAGATATCTTCCACAGTCACAAAGGCAGACATCTCTCCCAACTCTGCACAGGAAGCAAAAAAGCAGCATTGATCATGTAATTTACTCAGCTGGGGCAGAACAATAGCAGAGAAAGCACCTGCCTTTTGAAAAAGGAACCTATTCTGCTTACTACCCCACACTTCTAGTTTAGCAAACTGTTCAGTGCCAAGCTAGAAGTATAACAGCTGTTACCTGAAACTTCTGTTTCTTGATCACTTTTTGTAGACAGCCTTTATATTTTCCCTTTCCATCTTTTCAAAATTTAGAATGATTTGAAACATTATTAGAAAAGCTGAATTGTATCAGTAGTAGTCTAAGCAGTACAGAGACTTCTTGGGAAATGCAATGTTCTCTGCCCAGGAAAGAGGCTTGCGGCTTTACAAGGAACAGAGAGACCCTGG